GTTTTTTTTCAAGCAAAAACGGATCAGTTTACATCCATTTTGGATCAGTTTACATCCATTTTGGATCAGTTTACATCAGTTTTTTCATCAGTTTACAACAGATTTTTCATCCATTATTTTACAAAAGAAAAATAGGGTTCCGTTCAAAAAAAAACAGATGTTAATGGATACGGACATGAATGGATGTAAACAGATGATTATCCATTTATATGCACTAGTCCATAGAAATACATAGGTGTCCATTTTTCATCCGTAAACGGACAGATGAAAAATGGACATACGGAACACCCGTGTGAAAGAGGCCTTAGAGCTTGGATGCTGGATAGAGAGTGATGCTCAACTTGTCTCTTCAGAATTCCCCATAGATGTTCAATTTTGTTCAGATCAGGAGACATACTTGGCCACTGATTCACTTTCACACTGTTCTTCTGCAGAAATGCAACAGTGGCCCTAGATGTGTGTTTTGGATCATTGCCATGTTTGGAAAAGTGCAGGACGACCAGGAGCATGGAGTGATGGTAGCATCTTCTTTTTCAATATAGAGCAGTACATATATGAATTCATGATACCATCAATGAAATGCAGCTCCCCCACACCACTCATGCAGCCCCACAGAAGGACACTGCCCCCACTATGTTTCACTGTAGTCACCATGCACTTTTATTGTACTCCTCACCTTTGCGACGCCATACGTTTTTTTGAAGCCATCACTTCCAAAAACATTTATCTTGGTCTCATCACTACAGAGTACAGAGTCCCAGTAGTCTTCTTTTTCAGCATGGGCCCTAGCAAATTCTAGGCAAGTTTTTTGTGCATGGGCTTTAGGAGAGGCTTCCTTTGTGAACGACACCCATGCATGCCATTCCTGTGCAGTGTACGCTGTATTGTCTCGGGAAACAATCACCCTAATTTGGCTTTCTACTTCTTTAGCTGACTGCAATGAACTTGCATGCCGATTGTCTTCAACCTTCCTCATCAGAAGCTCCTGTCAAGATGTTAACCTCTGTGAACAGCCTGGATGTCTCTGTGTGATGGTTGCAGTTCCATCTTTGTTAAATTTTTGTATCACTTTTGCTACAGTATTCTGAGTGATAATTAAAGCTTTGCTGATCTTGTAGCCTTCACCTTTCTTTCTCAATCCTTGTGACATTTCTTTTCCATCTGGTGCTATTGCTGACAGCATGAAATGTAAGGGGTTTTCTTTGTTAAGTAACACCCTTTTATAATCCACTGTGCTCTGCTTAAACACCTGTTTAATGAATAATTAAGACTCACTTGTAGTTGAATTTTTGTTAATTAGGATTCTGTTGTCTAAAATGTCGCTTTGCTCCTTAGGCTTCTTTCACATGGGTGTTCCATATGTCCGTTTTTCATCTGTGGCCCCGTTTACGGATGAAAAACAGACATCCATGCATTTTCTATGGACTATCGGATGTAAACGGATGATCATCCATTTACATCCAGTAATGTCCGCATCCGTTAACATCTGTGTTTTTGAACGGAAGAAAACCCTATCTTCCGCAAAAAACCCTGGAACAGAAGAAAAACGGATGTCAGCGGATTGTATGCAGCCCAGCAGGTCAGGAAATGGGGGGGGGGGGGGGCGCTCCTGAACCATACCAGGCCACATGCCCTCAACATGGGGGGGTGCTTTGGGGTGGGGGCTCCCCCCCAAAGCACCTTGTCCCCATGTTGGTGGGGACGAGGGTCTCTTCCCCACAGCCCTGGGCTGTGGGCAGGGGGAGTCTGTGGGCAGGGGGGCTTATCGGAATCTGGAAGCACCCTTTAGCAAGGGGGCCAGCAGATCCTGGCCCCCGCATGTGAATGAGTTTGGGGTATATAGTACTGCTACCCATTCACAAAAAATAAGTGTAGAGTGAAAAAAGACAGACAGTCTTTGCCAAGTCCTTTATTAAAAGAAGGAAAATAAAAGAATATCCCCCGAAGTAGATCCAACGTCAATCACGATGCCCACGGCCCTGAAAAAAAAAAGAAAAAAAAAAGCTGATGCTGGCTCCCAGCTGTCTGACTGCTCCACTGGCTTGACAGTTCTTAAATATGTAAGGGGCGGAGCCACCCAGTGACATCATTGACCGGGGCTTGCTGGGTCAATGATGTCACATGGGAGCGGGGGCACATACATGATGGCCCCGCCCCTTACATATTTAAGAACTGTCAAGCCAGCGGAGCAGTCAGATGGCGGGAGCCAGCGTCTGGAGCTGAGCCTTTTTTTTTCTTTTTTCGGGTGGCGGTGGCAGCGGGATCTACTTTGGGGGAACATTCTTTTATTTTTCATTTTATAAAGGACTTGTCAAAGACTGTCTCCTATCTTTTTTCAAAGTACAAGTTTTTTTTTGTGAATGGGTAGCGGTACCATGTACCCCATACTCATTCACATGGGGGGGGGCGGGATCTGGGGCCCCTTCACTAAAGGGGGCTTCCAGATTTCGATAAACCCCCCATCCGCAGACCCCCACAACCCAGGCTTGTGGGGAAGAGACCCTTGTCTCTATCAACATAGGAACAAGGTGCTTTGGGTGGGGGGGGAGCCCCGTGCCCCAAAGCACCTCCCCATGTTAAGGGCATATGGCCTGGTATGGTTTCAGGAGGGAGGGCGCTTGCTCGCCTTTAACCGGCCCTTGAGGCACTATTTCTCCCACTGACACAAGACACTATTCTGTCCACTGACACCAACAACAGGGCATAACTCCTGCCACCAATTTCAACAATGGGACACTATTCTTCCCACTGAGACCAAAGATGAGGCACTATTCCTCCCAATGACACCAATGACGGGGCACTATTCTTCCCACTGATACCAATGACGGGGCACTATTCTTCCCACTGATACCAATGACGGGGCACTATTCTTCCCACTGACACCAATGATGGGGCACTATTTTGTCCCACTGACACCAATGATGGGGCACTATTCGTCCCACTGACACCAATGATGGGGCACTATTCGTCCCACTGACACCAATGATGGGGCACTATTCCTCCAAGTGACACCAATGATGAGGCACTATTCCTCCCACTAACACCAATGATGGGGCACTAATCGTCCTACTGACCACCAATGATGGGGCACTATTCCTCCCAGTGACACCAATGATGAGGCACTATTCCTCCTACTGACACCAATAATGAGGCACTATTCCTCCCTCTGACACCAGTGATGTGGCACTATTCCTCTCATTAAAAACAATGAGACACTATTCCTCCCATTGACAGTAATGATGAGCTACTATTCTTCTCACTGACACCGATGAGGTATTATTCTTCCCACTGACACCAGTAATGAGCCACTATTCTTTCCACTGACACCAATGGTGAGCCACTATTCTTCCCACTGACACCAATCATGAGACATTTTTCTTTTTACTGACACCAATGATGAGCCACTATTCTTCTCACTGACACCAATGATGGGGCACTATTCCTCCCACTGACACCAATGATGGGGCACTATTCCTCACACCGACACCAATGATGGGGCACTATTCCTCACACCGACACCAATGATGGGGCACTATTCCTTCCACTGACAACAATGATGGGAAACTATTCCTTGCACTGACACCAATGATGAGCCACTATTCCTTCCACTGACACCAATGATTAGGCACTATTTCTCTCTCATAATACCAAAGATGAGACACTGTTTACTTCCACTGATGCCAGGAAAAACTGTACTCCCACTGGCCACAGTCTGGCCCCCTTAAAGTCTTAAGAACAGTAAACTGGCCCTTTGTTTAGAAAGTTTGGAGACCGCTGCTCTAGTCCAGTGTGGTGGTCAACTTTCTGGATATCGGGGCCTCAAGTGCAGCCACTGATATCAACAAAAGGGCCACAAATAGAATTCAATGAACAGAGACAGCAGATGCACAATGGGATATAGTCAAAGACTATGTGTGCAATACAAGAGACAGTCAGAGACTGTGGACATGTTACAAGAGATGGTCAGATACTGCAGACATGGTACAAGAGCTGGTCAGAGACTGTGGATATGATACAAAAGATGGTCAGAGACTTCATATGTGGTACAAGAGATGGTTAGAGACTGCTCACATGGAACAAGAGATGGTTACAGACTGCCCACATGGAACAAGAGATGGTCATAGACTGCAGATATGGTACAAGAGATGGTCAGAGACTGCAGATGTGGTACAGGAGATGGTCGGAGACTGATTAAAGACTGTAGGAGACTGTCAGAGACTGTGACCATGTTACAGTAGTAGTTTTAGACTGGAGGCATATTACATGAGACTGCTGGAAATCACTACTATAACATAGCAATAAGAAAACACGGATCTGTGTCAGCAAGGGCCACAAGAGCAGCACAAAAAGTGGCCCCTGGTTAGCAGCTTTGGCCCCAGGGCTCTGGTCTCTGCCCTCTTCCTATATCCCCCCAATACGTCTTGTTCTATACAGGGCCAGCTACATCCCCCTCTCCATTCTATACATACAGGCCAGGAATGAGGCCTGTCCCAGCTGTCACCCTCGGATACTACAATTCCCAGCAGCCTCCCCGGCCCGGGCACGCCCCCTCTATATAATCTCGTCATCCGGGACTCTGGCACCGTCAGGCGGTCAGTCGCCATTACAGACGCGGTGTCCGGTGCTCTGCTCCTTTCCGGAGGGGGCAGCTCCTGATCCTCTGCTCAGGCCCTGAGAGTCCCCACGGGGCTCCCACCACCCGGGTCCGCTCCCCGCTCGGGACCGGCCGCTTTCCTCCTCTCCTTGCCGGATCTGTGAAGTAGGCCAGCAGGGCCCTGTACCGCCCGGTCCCCTCGTAGCGTCCTGTGGGGCCCTCCGCTCCCTCATCCCCGCACCTCTACCGCCCTTCTTCCGGCCTCCTGTCTATTTCTCTTTCTGTCTGGGCACACAGCAAGATGTCGCCATGAATCGCGCTCCTCGTCCCCCGGCTCTCCTGAACGCCATGCTCCTGGCTGCCAGCCGCCCCCTGCACGGTGCTGCCCCCGCCCTCCCCGCGGTCTATGCCGCTCAGCTCGGCCACAGACATGGATCCCGGATCCAGCAATCCCAGCAAGACCCAGAACCGATCGGCCTCCACCGGGCCTGCCGGGGACTCTAAGCCTAAGAGTGGTAAGGAGCCGTGTGGGGGCGGGGCCGACAATTCTCATGGCCTGTCACTGCACCGCGCCTGTCTGTTATTTACTAATTGTGGGGAAGAAACGTACAGATTTAAAGTGTATACCCACACAAAACTTTTTTTTTCTCTCATTTTTTAATAGTAGATAGAACCCCTGCCAGCTTTTACTGCTATCCAAGGCTCCTTTCCAGAGATTATCCTCACTTCCTGTTCTGCTGGCAACCAAACAGGAAGTGAGGGCAAATCTTCAACAGAGACACAGGTGGATGTTACTCTATTTGTACAGTAATGGCAGATCCTTGGTCAGTTTCTGTGCTATTCAGAGCCTCAGTAGAGATTATCCTCACTTCCTGTCTGTCTGCCGGAAATTCCCAACAGAGTCCCAGACAGGTTTTGTTTTTTTGGTAGGGGAAAGCTTGAAGCAGTCAGGTTTTAGGCTCCATTCACACTTGTGCACCTTTGAAATCGTATGATTTTCATTGCAACTTTACAGTGCGACTTTGGCTGAGTGCAACGTTGGCTTTGACCAAGATGTTTGTGCTGTACGAAGTCACACATGAGTTGCGTGTACAACATTCAGGTGCAACTTTCATGGGACTTTGGAGCAATTACATTGAAGTCTATGCCATCGAATCGCATGAAAATTGGACAAAAGTACTACTTTGAAGTCGCACAGATATGAATGGTACTCATTGGGAAACATGGGGTGCAACTTGTCATGCAGCTTTAGACCCCAAAGTCGCATGACAAGTCGCACAAGCGTGAATGGGCTCTTACTGCTATCTGTGGCTTTGTTCTACAGACTCTTCACTTTCTGTCTTGCCAACAACCATTTACCAAACAGGAAGTGAGGGCAAATTCTCAACAGAGACACGGGCTTACTTTTTGTTCGTATAGTAAGGGTAGATCCTTGGATAGAAATTTACTGCTATTCAGAGGTTCAGTAGAAGATATCCTCACCTCCAGTCCTGCAGACATTATATCAGACAGGAAGTGAGGAGACATCTAGACCCTAGACAGAGGTTAAACTTTTTTTTTTTTTTTTTCTTTTGGTAGGGGAAAGCTTGAACCAGTCAGATTTTACTGCTATCCAGGGCAAAATTTCAGAGATTATCCTCACTTCCTGTCCTGCTGACAACCATTTACAAGACAGGGAGTGAGGCAAAATCTCACAAAGACAGAAGCATTTTTTTTTTATTTAGCAGAGGAACGCTAAACCCTGTCAATATTTTATTGCTTTTCAGAACTCTGAGCTTCTCCTCAATTCCTGTTTTGCTCACATAATTTAGATTGTACACCCCTTGAGGGTTAGGGACTGATGTGAATGTACAATATATATGTAAAGCACTGTGTGAATTGACGGCGCTATATAAGTACCTGTAGTAAATAAATATATCAGACAGGAAATCTCCAAGCAGAAGCAAACTTTTTTTTTTTTTTTTCCTTAGAGGAAGGTCAGGTTTTACTGTTAAGCATGGCTTTATTACAGCGTTTACACCCCCTTTCTGTCTGACAACGATTTACCAGATAGGAAGGGAGGGAAAAAAACAGACAAGGAAAGAGGCACCCTTTTATTTATAAATCAGCGGAGGACAGAACCTCTGTCTCATTTATTTCTTCATATGTTTGTTTCATATTTTCTCTCCCTTCCGGTCTTGTAAAACCATTGCCAACAGAACTTGAAGTAAGGATAGATCTCTCAGAACCCTGGATAGCAGTAAATACCCACAGGGGTTCTAATCCTTCCTTCATCCAAAGCTAGAAATCATTTTTAGCTTCACATACTTTAAACCAATGGTTGTCAATGTATGAGCTAAAGGGGACCTCAAATGCGGCCCCTGACATCACCAGAGGGCCGCACATAATAAACAATATATGTAATGCTTGAGATGACTGTCAAAACTGTGGACCTAATAGAGGAAATGGGGGTCAGAGAGCCTCGTGTAACATTTTTCCAATTTCATATTGTCTTCTGCAGCATATCCCTAGTCACAACTTAGAATGATGAAAACATTTAAAGCCCTGAATCTGCTGGAGCAGACTCCCTCCCTTTCATGGCTGGCCTTTGTTTCTGTCTTGTGCTGTTTTGCCACAAGCAGGTTCTGTTTGACCAATTCCTGGCCAATAGCAGATTGATGGCTGGGCGGCCCGTTGTTCCTCTGAGTGGACGTCACATGATGTCGTCCTATTTGTGCCGCTCGTGCGTGCTTCCTGGTTGGGTGATCTGTGCTGAGCTGTGTCATCACTGATCAGGGTAAAGAGCCAATAACATTGGCTCTTTACCCCAATTAGCTGTGTCCAATCACAGCTGATCACATGTAAACAAATGCTAGTTATCAGCGTTTCCTTTCCACTTGGAATATAGTTGATGAGAATCAGCAGCATATTAAAGCTGTAGTAAACACCGCTTGGTCACTTTTGCCTACAGGTAAGCTTTATAAGGCGGCTTACCTTTTAGGTAGGTAACGTGAATATCTCCTAGAAATGGTGCACATGTTTTGCAGCAGGTGACATCACCGACACATATGCACCATGCTCTGTATTTAGGGCACACTGAATGTGTCGACAATCCAGAGCACTGTGCTGCGATTGTGACTCCCATGCTCATGTTCTGAAGTGAGAACATTGTGGCTCAGCCATTGAAACAAAGAGCCTGTGAACCCTGAGGGAGGATGGAAGCCCTGTCAGTGGTGACAGCTTGCCGCTGGAAGGATTAGTTTTACAGGAAAGTGAGTCATAATGCACTAGTGACACGTGACCTAAGCCTGCAGGAGGACCATTTTTTTTTTATTTTATAATATATTTGAAGACTAAACTACTGCTTTCAGTCACAAGCTACCAAAAAGACAAGTATACTCCTTTCAGTAGGTATGGTTTTGGAAAAGGCGCCCATTCTCTTCAGCAAGCTGTCCTTATCCCGGCACATCACACTGTTTACTTTTTCTCCCTCTCAGAACTTTGTTGAACTGTCACTCCTGACATTTCAACAGAGTTCTATTAAAGAGGAGCTCCAGTCTCCCCTATATAAAAAAAAAAAAAAAAAAAAAAAAAAAAAAAAAGTCAGCAGCTACAAATACTGTAGGTGCTCATGTTTAACATAAGGACATGCAATGTCCTCACCCAAGCTGATTCTTTAGGCAGGTGCCGGCATCTTGGGTAAGGGAAACCAGCAGTGAAGCCTTATGGCTTCACAGCCATTTTCCTACTGTGCATGTACAAGACACGCTGCGCTTTGTGACTGGTCCCACAGTCTTCTGGGGCTAGCTAGAAGGCTGCAGGTTAAGGAGGAAGGGCCAAACGTCCATAGAAATCATTGGGGTGATCTGACTGGAATTGGGAGCAGTTACCTGCTTCCCCCCCCCCCCCCACAAAAAAAAAGTTCCAAATATGTCATTGCAGGTGGAGGTTGCAAGCAACCGGAACATCCCCTTTTGGGCAAAGTTCCACTTTAGACGCAGCGGCATTGCAATGTAGTGGTTCGCTTCACAACCCACTGAACTGACACCACCTTTTTAGTCCTGACTGTGAGTTGGGGATGCGAGCACAGCCCAGCTGCATTTGGTGTGAACGGGCCCTAAAGCAGTAATTTATTGCAGGATCGCACAAGCAACACTGGTCCAAATAACAGCCTAGAGATTATGTATCAACAGAAAGCCTGCTGCAGATTTCAGACACAGCTGCATGCATTGGTTCATAAAGTGTAACACTTCTTTAAACATTTTATATTAGAACACTGACTTCAGACAGTGCTAAAGTACATGATTCACATATTTTGTTTGTGTAGAAGTAGTTGAAAAGATAAAAAAAAAGTGGTAGTTGGTCTGAGCTGTTACCTGATTTACTCTTTACAATCTGATCTTGCATGAAAGGATCTGCCTAAACATTGCTCCACCCAGCTGTGCTTCTACAGATAACACCCTGCCCTGTCATAAGGATATTCAGTGACGTATTTGTTTACAGAATTTATTTACAGTGGAAGGAAGCAGTTTGCAGGGACAGGCATTTTCTCTGCCTATGGAAATAGTACATGGCTTTGTCTTCCAATCTTATTCGGAGCTTCCATTTATTTGTATTCTAGACGGAAAAAGTGGCAGCAGTTCAAAGCAACGCTACAGCCGCAAACGTGAAAATTCTTATCCCAAAAATGAAAGCTTTGCCGCCCGGCCCGCCGCTCCGGTCCACAGAAAAGCAAAACTTTAGGTTCCACCTCAGAGAGGGGGCACTAAACAGTTTACCTATGGAAGACGAGAAGAGGTAAGGGCCTTGTAAGCAAGATCTGGTGTGTTTACAGCTGGGAACCGCGCATCGAAAAGTATTTGGTAGATAACAGATCCCGCTTTTTGTTTATAGGTAGCAGAGACTCAACGGGCAGAGTTCAGTCCAGCCCAGTATTCAGGACCTAAGAAAATAAACTTGAACCACTTATTGAACTTTACCTATGAGCCCCGAGGTCATCCTGGTGCACATAGAGATAGCCATGGAAACTGGAGCAGACGCAACAAGTGGGGCCACAAACCATTTAACAAGGAGTTGTTTCTGCAAGCAAAGTGAGTTTTTTTATCTTTTTTTTTTTGTAAGTTATGTAAATGTGTTCTCTATCCTGGTATAGACTGGACTGATCTTTGATTTTCTCTGTAGTTGTCAATTCGTTGTATCGGATGATCACGATTACAGTGTCCATTTCACTGATCCAGACACTTTGGTTAGCTGGGACCTAGTGGAACAAGTGGTCAGTATTCCTATCTTTGTTGTGGTGTGTTAACAAAAATGACATTGGAAGATAATGTATTTGGTAACTGATATCTATTGCAGTTGGTTTGCTTCGTAAGTTCCCATAGGTTCTGGGTATGGGTTTATGATGTGACAGTTGCCTTCAGTCCCCACCCACTCCATAACCCCACTATGCATGAATGATAGGTTGTTCTGATGAGGGAAAGCGCTGGAGTTCTTTTTGGACTGTCTCACTGGCCAATAGATAGTATAGAGCAGACAAACGTTCACACTTCCAGGAAGTGTTGAAGCTTTGCAGTTTATTGATAGGGGGGTTTCAAAGCTGTTGCAGGCCGCCTATGCAGGTGCTGCTAGATTTTTTAAGGAGCCCTGGCTTTACTGCATTCTCTTCTGCCTTTAAAAGGTTGTAGAGAGAATTATAAATATATCTATGGAGCATGTACACCTGTCATGATACAAATGTATGCCTGCTTTTGCAGATCTCTCCTTTTGAAGTTGCCTGGCTTTCATGCTGATGCTTTGAACTCAATACTTTGAGTTTCTGACCTGGAAGTGTAGACTATGAAATTTGATGCCAGGCAGTTAGTATCTTTAATAGGAGTTCAGCAATGGCAGTCTCCATATGCCTCTAACTGGGCACATTAAAGGAAAACAAAAGTGGCTGTTTCCTTATTTCTGTACAAAAAAAAAATGCTATTTTGCTGCTAGGTAGTTTAAAAAAAAAAAAAAAAAAAAAAAAAGTAACACTTTTGGCTGCCCTGGTAACCAGGATTTATGCAGCTTTGTTTTTTACTATACACTATGTAATGATCTGTGCCATGTTTTAGGCAGAGACATACTGTGAGAGTGTCTGTGTGGTGGGTTTTTTGTTTTGTTTTTTTTTACTTTAAGAAACTTTACTCTAATTCATTAAGATCCTGTTTGTATGTCTTACATGTAAACTATAAGGACGTTTAATATTTTTTAATTTGTGCAAGAATTGCAATATCTTTATATGGTGGGGGCACTATTGTCCATTTATACCTTGGTAATTGTCTCCTTCATTTCCACAGCGCATTTGCAGCCATGAAGTGCCCTCCTGTCCCATTTGTCTTTATCCCCCGGTTGCTGCCAAGATTACCCGCTGCGGGCATATTTTCTGCTGGGCTTGCATCTTACATTACTTGTCACTGAGTGAAAAGGAATGGAGTAGATGTCCAATTTGTTATAGCTCCGTTATGAAGAAAGACCTTAAAAGGTAACTTAAATGAAGACCCAAAGAAGCTTTAGTTTATGACTGGATTCTGTTGAGCACAATACAGTTACAGCAGAATTTGATAGCAGAAACAATGAAAGGTGATAAAGCGGAACTAAACCCTCCTCTCTTTTTAAACCATGGAAGCTGCAGTCTTAGCCTCTGTTTGATCTGCAACTGCCATGGTGCTGCGCATGTGATCAGTTATGATTTCACCCATTTGATGGTTTCACAGTTTGGTTGAAAGCACAAAGCAAATGTGACAGCTGTCATGCCAGGAATGTAACTAATTGTTTTCAAACTGTTACATTGATGGGTTGAGTTCTCCTTTAAGGCATCTAGCCACCAACAATGTATATATTTACATTTGTACCTCTGTGGCAGTTATAATGGTAAGTTGTGTTCATAAATTCCATTTTTTGTGACACTTACTATTGCTTATAGGTAGATCTAAATAAAAAATGACTTGGATAATTATGTGATAGTTCTAACCGTAATCTTATGGCACTTTCTCATACTGTTATAATGCAGTCCTGGAGGTTCTTAACTCCTTCCAACCCCACTCCCTGTGGCCCTTTTACCTTGGGCTTAGCACTTAGACTTCCCGATCACTGACATTGGCTGTCAGAGTGGTAATGACCTGGAGCCCTCTCCCCGACTCCCAATCATAGAGACCTGGTTATGTCTGTAACAGCTTTGGCCTCTGTGCTGTGAGTGTTGTCACTGCCGAAACCTCTGCCACCATGGACATTGAGGACCATCCTCTCTGTCGCTGCAAGCATGCATTATGTGGTTGGCAAAAGGTTAAAATGAACTGGCTCCTGTAGCTTGTAGGTGCGGGGATCATTTTATCCTCAGTGTCAACACCAGAAGCACTAAAATTTGTTTTTCTCTGCAGTTTGGCTCACTTTGCTTCCATATTCCAACCTTCTAATCTCTAATGTAAACACAGAGAATATGTTCTGAGGGGGAAGAAGTATGAACTAAGCTGAGGAGAGCAATTCCACTGCTTCTGGTGTGAAATGTGAGACCAAGGTCTTTAGATCTTATTTACATCTTAAGAATATTTGTGGATAAATGTCCATATCAGTGTTTTATTTTGATGTCAAATTTTGATTTAGTTTTAGTCCTAGTCTTTTGACTAAAATGCCATTTTAGTTTGTCTTATTTTAGTCATCTGAATTGTTTGTCAAATTTTAGTTTACTAAAATCTCCAGTATCCTATTTGTCATAAAGTAATATTTGTTTGTTTAGAAGTGCAACTTTAAAATATAAAAAAAAAAAACACAAAAACTGAACTCTATTAGCTGTAATGCCATTGCACATATTACCTGAATAGAAAAACTTAAACCGTTCTCTGTTAATAATGAAAACAAGTATCAAGTAACAAGAGTAATGCTTTTTGACGACTGTTAATTTTGACGTCAAATTTCAGTTTAGTTTTAGTCCGTGTTTTGACTAAAATGTAGTTTTAGTCGTAATTTAGACATCTCAACTGAAACTGAATGTTATTTTTTTGTTTAGTTTTGCTCACTAAGAACATGCTGCAGACAATAACTATGATAAATATTTTTGACGAAGAAAGTAACACTGGTCCATTACCTGCCAATGGGTTTACGCTAATTTGGTTTCAACCAGTACTTTGTTGTGTTTTGTTTCCATTGGATTTCTCCCACAATTTAGAAACTGTTTACTTGACTCCCAATTAAATTGGGGAACAATGTGGGTTTTAAACTTTTCTGTTACTGCTCTCTTTTCAGTGTTGCTGCCACAGAAACTCGTCTTTATAGCGTGGGTGATACCATCACGATGCAGCTAATGAGGAGAGAAAAGGGTGTCCTTGTGGCAATGCCCAAATCTAAGTGGATGAAGTTGGATGAGCCTATTCATCTGGGAGGTAAAATCTGATAGAAAATGGGGTATATGTGTAGGAATTAAGTTTATGAAAGTAAAATCCGGTTTGAGTATTGAGAACAAGTGTACTGAGGGATTTTTTATTAACCGCTTTAGCTCCGCCCTATAGCAGAAATACTCCTGCAGGGTGGCAGCTGTGCGCAAAATCACATGTATGTATACGTGATTTTGCATTTCTGGGTAGGGGACGTGCGTGCTCCCTACCCCACACCACAATTCACGTCTGTCAAGCTTGGGGAGCTTGTGCTTTTGAAAATCAACAGACTTACTGGCTGGATCACCAGATGAATATAAAAGAAAGAAGGCCTAAAAAAGAAAATTAATGCCGACATCACATCTAACAATCGATAAGCTGCAATATGATAAATGTTTACTTTTAGGTATAATACCTCTTTAACCGCTTCCTGTCCGCCCTATAGCAGTAACACTGCTACAGGGTGGCACGGGTGCGCAAAACCACATGTGTGTGTATATATGTGATTTTGCATTTCCGGATAGGGGGCGTATGCCCTACCTGCGCAGCTGTTCGTGGCCTCTGCTGTCAATCACTGGGTCCCGGCCGGTGATTACTCACCGACACCCAGTGATCTAGGGAGAGAACTGTAAGTAAATACAGTTCTCTCCTGTCAGCTCCTGCACACTGCTATGCAAAGAAGTGTGCTTACAGTGAAGCACAAACACAGTATACAGTTAACCCTTTGCCCCAGATGTTAACCCCTTCATTCCCAGTGCCATTAGTCAGTTCCCCCCCCCCCCCCCCCCCGTGTCAGAATGCCTGCCGCATTCGTCGCCATTACTGGTTAATAAGAAAAAAAAAAAAAACGTGATGTGTAGTTTATACTGCCATTTTTGTAAACACTATAATTTTCACATAAACCAATTAATTTACATGTATTGGGATTTTATTTTTTTTTAGCAAACACATGTAGCAGAATACATTCTGGCCTAAATTTGATTTCTTTAATTTTTTTTTTATTTTTTTTTTTATTTTTTTACTGGACATGTTTAATAGCAAGAAGTCAAAATGTTTTTTTTTTTTTTCTCAAAATTGCCAGGTTTTTTTTTTTTTTTTTTATAGCACAAAAAATAAAAACCGCACAGGCGATCTAATACCACTGAAAGAAAGCTCTATGCGTGGGGGAACAAAAAGGATGTAAATTTCATTTGGGTGCCATGTTGCATGACCACACTATCCGTTAAATTAGCGCAGAGTCGTAACGCAAAAAATGGCCTGGTCAGAAGGGGGGTAAATCTTTTGGAGGTCAAGTTAACATAAAACATCTAGCACTGAAACAATTGCTTACAATATCCTAAAGATTGGGTACTGGGGTGAACGTAATATCCCTCCACTATTCTCATATGTAGTTAGGAATATCTTGTTCTGGATTACAGTGGTTGTTCTTTTCCAGATGAGGAACATAGTTTGTTCTCCAAGCTTCTTCTGGCTTCCAAAAAGCAGATCTTGAAGCAGGTCATAAATGAAGAGAAGGCAGCACTTGTGGAGCAGTACAGTGTTGAGGGGGAAACTCCTGAAGCCTGTTTTATAGAAGCTGCCATTCAGGATTTAAAGGTTAGTTCAGTGTTGGTAGGTTTGCCAAACACAGGGGAAATACTTCTTGAGTGATAATTGTTGGGGGTGTAGTGATTGTGGCCTAAGGTCACAAAGAATTGAATACATAAAGCATATATTTTATAAAATGTAATTTTTTGGTTTGGTCCTATACTGCATTACTAATATGTGCACTCTCATTCATACGTTATAGGATCGCCAAGACCTCCTTCAGGCACCCTGTAAACAGGATGTTGGGTCCACTGAAGCCGACACTGAGGTTTTGGAGGTGGAGACACACTCTCAAGAGAAAAAGTCAGACTCTGACTATAGTGTTAGTACCAAAACCATTTATATCTATCTTCTTCAGAAACTACTGCACGTCATCTATAAACTTAAGCAAAGCCATAAGAAGGTTTTGTTTTTGTAGAATGGTAAATGGCTGTTGAATACAATATCTTGTTCAGCTAAACATAGAAAAGCTTGAGATGTATATTGAGCTCTCACTTATGTAACTTGTAGAAACCATATAATGCAGTGGTGTGAAAGTTTGATAAGGACATATTTTATTCCATTACTACATTGCTAATGCTTAAAGCTACATTTTTGATTGATACACCTGCATTCTGTTTTTCTCTTTTTTACATTACAAAGCTTTAATAAACTAAAAACCACGTTTGGTGTATCACCATGGAAACAAAAATGTTTAAAATAACTAAAAAGCTACACAACATGTGTTTAAGTATAAAAATAGGCAAGAGTATAGTGTGGGAAATGCTTAACTAGTGTTCTTGAAAATAAACACAGATGGGAGAGGTCACTGTCCGCTTAGTATGCTTTTCTTCATTTCCTAACAGGTAGTGCATTATGTGTCTGCTTTTGATGAGGAGGTTGAGGATCCAATATGTGAAGACTTGTGCCAGTCTTTAGAGTCTGCAAGCTTGGCACCTGTCTCTGCTGAGGGCAGTGATGTTGTACCCACAGAGGAAACTACTTTTTCTCAAAAGAGTAAGCCGGCAGCTGTTCCATCCAGCTCTGGACCACCTCACTACTATTACTTTTACCAAGGTTTGTTTAGCAAGTTACTGCCATCTGAATTCAACAGTTTACATTTCCAAACAGTAACCAATCCTTTGCTCTGCAGCTGTAGATGGTCAGCACATATATCTGCATCCAGTGAATGTGCGCTGCCTTGTCCATGAATATGGAAGTCTGGAGCAATGTCCTGAAACTATCACTGCTACAGTGGTAGAAATTGATGGCTTCACTGTGACGGAGGTGAGAGATTATCTATTTGCAGTACAATCAGGTGTGTAATGGTATTAATGTTTTTAAATTTATTTTGCTGCTGTGTTCCAACTTCCTGTTAGAGAAAGTTGCTCACATGAAGTAGTACACATGACTACAACTAGCATGCACCACTCATTTCAAACAAATGGAAGTGTGTGTGTGGGTGTGGGCAGCGTTCTGGGGCTTTGGAGCATGTTGCAAGGATGCAGAAAAACCGTAACAAATTCATGAAAAATGGATTACAGGAACATTAAGTAGCAGATGCATATAGATTATTTCTGGAGAACTAGGATATTTAGTGTTCCTTTAGTTGAAGCTGTGCTGATGGTTAAAGTTGTAAACTACTGGTGTGGTAAAATACATGTACCTTCAGATATCTTCCAGAGTATCCCAAGAGCCCTAAAACCCTGGGTGCTCAACAACACAAATTGTATGTATTTTCTGCTTCAAAGGGAGCTCTTGTGTTCTCTGCATCTGAGCATTGGTCATGATGCAAGGCCTAACTTACGGAAGGGTCAGACCTCTGACTTCAGACGTGAAATTGCTTTGTATTTTTGGATGGAGTGAGTATTGTAAAAAGCTCCTTAGTGAGTCCCACATGATTCAATAAAAATGTATAGTCCACTAATCTGGTAAATATGTCCAGGATAATGAAACCTTTTGGATTGAAGGGGGGGGGGGTGTTTGAGCTAGCAATAGATCAAAGTTCAGCAGTGACTGGCCAAATTTCAATTCATGTCTGGCTTTTCCTATTCATAAGTCACAGGCTGCAGCTCTGATCAATATGTTTGCCCTCCGTCAGGATGCTATTACACAGAAGGAAGGATTCCTGCATCCACCTCTAATTCGTGGATGGGGGAATTAGTTCAGTTTCAACCCACTGTCTGGGGGGAAAAAAAAATGAGCCATGTATGGCCAGCTTTTTAGTGTCAGAGCTTTGTGACAACGTTAAAGCAACCTGGTTTCATGTATTTGAGGAACAGAAGGAATGTGGTGGGCTATAGTGTTTACTGGTTCTCGTATGTGGAGCCTGAAATTGTGTACATTAAAAGTCAGAAAACCCATTTTTACATGAATTCTTCCTGTTTCTCTGAATGTTCATTGGAGGGTGAAATACAGCAGACCACTAGGGTATAAGCCTTGCCCTTAGGAGTGTGGACCACAAAGACAAAGGACACTGCTATTCCCTCATGTAAGCTGTATGATTGCTAAGTAAGTGTGCACTTAGTTTGAGGTTGGTGACATAGTACATCTTAAACAGTTCACCTTCATCAAAGAACTGCCTATGCAGGTAAAGTGGACAGCTCTGACTAAAATTGAATAATGCTTTTGCTATAGGTGTAGGCCATATACATATCTCATGAAGCCTGACTGGAATTCTCCCAGGACATTGCTAAGTGAGGCCTACATGTTACTGCCCACCTCCTCCATCACAGGAGTGAGCTCTCAAATGTTGAGCTCAGAGCTTCTGTATCAGGAGAGAGAGAGAGTATGTAAGGAGGTCTGAATCAGAGAAAAAGCTCACCCCTGTGATGATGGGGATGGGCAGTAATGACTAGGCCTCGCTTAACAACATCCCAACAACGTCCTGGGAGTATTCCAGCAAGGCTTCATGAGGTAGGTAAATGGCCTACACCGATAGCAAGGACATTATTCAACTTTAGTCAGACGCACAGTTTTATCTAGATGCCCCTTCCTGCATAGGAAATTCTATTTTCACTTCCCATTTGGAGCTTCTGCTCCTTCTGGCCTGTCCTTGGAGTGTTTTTTCTGGCTGTCAGCATTATAACATCAGGCTCCCAAGCCTGGTGATATATTGCCAGGAATACTTTTCATGCCACCTCTGTCCTAGTCAGTGTTGCATCACATCCAGAGATTCACTGTAGGTTCCCTGTTGTAAGCTTTGTTTCAGAACCTGCATGATGCATCTTTGTAGCCAAGTAAATGCAGTAATTGCAGGTCATTCTGTGGTTCTGTGCAAACCATTGCAGTAATTCAGTTGCAGACTATAAATTTATGAATTAAGATCCTGAGGTATTTTTTCTGTTACTTTCAGGAGGTGCGCAGACGTCACCGTTATCTCTGTCATCTGCCTCTTACCTGTGAATTCAGTATTTGTGAGATGGCACTTGGACCACCTGCTGTTTCAGAGCAAACTTTGTCTTACTTTGCTGGTAAGTGGAAAACTGCTGGATATTTTTTGGGAAATTTAAATAACATGTCATGCTTTTTTAGCTCTTTTTCCATTCAGAATAAACTAAATTATGTCCAGGATGTTTGCCAATACAAAATTTGTTTCAGTCAGTATTTTGTTAATTTTACAAAGAAAAGTGATAACTATTTTTTAATGAATTTTTCAGGCTTAGGAACTGTCATCCTGTTCCTGGCTTTACTATCAAGGGCCACAGGTGAAGCAAGTATGCAACCAGTAACCTCTGAATTGCCACCCTGCTTGCTTGTTCCAGGCCTTTGCTATAACTCGTAGTTCAAGTCCAGTTTTTAAAAATGAACCCGAGAATATTCTGTCCCATTAACTTTTTCTCAGTGGTTTACTCTAAAATGATGGTGGTAGTTTTATTAGTTAAAAAAAAAAAGTTTTTTTGTATATAGATGTTGAAGAGGCACATAATAAAACCTGTAGTACCAAAGCTGTATTCTCCTTTGGAGAGCAAGGAAGGGTAGGACTTAGGGACATGTGTATGTTTTTAGCTTTAAACTTGATTTCTGTGCTAAAAGCAAGTATGCTTAGGAAATCCGACCTCACAAACTTGTTTACTCCTGTCAGAGACCTATAGCTGTTGCTCAGTTCTTGGCTGCATTCCTCACCTGGGAAGCAAAGTTTAACAGATCTCTGTGGTCTGTTATCCAGTTATATAGCATAGTATTGTGCTTTTTCAGCTAGGCACACCCTTTTTAGACCTGCTATTTGAAGAGTAATAATAATGTGTCCTTTAGCCTTCTAATCAGTGATGCAGGAATGTCATAAGTGACATCAGTGTTTGTGTAAATACCTACTCTATTTTTATTATTATATACAGGTTTTATATAGCACCAACAGTTTGCGCAGCGCTTTACAAAATGAAGGTAGAGATAACAGTTGCAATACAATTTGGTACAAGAGGAAACCGAGGGCCCTGCTCGTTAGAGCTTACAATCTAGGAAACTAGAAACAGATTCTATAGTACCCTTTTGATCAGCACCAGCAGTCTTTGTATGCGAGTCTATTTCAGTATATAAAGTAAAACAAAGTCTAGCATTCTCATCATATTCTCTGTAAATTATGCCTAATGCTTTTACATTTCTCCTTTAGATGAAGTAGAGAAGAGAAAAAGGCAGCGGCAGAGAAAGGCACGCGACGAACGTCGCAGAGAGAAAAGAATCGAGATTGAAGAAAACAAGAAGCAAGGAAAATGTAAGCTTGGGTCAGGACTAGTCAGTTTCTGTTCTATGCTAGTCCATAAACCAATCTCTGCAATATTTTAATGCTAAATTGTTGAACAGAACTTTGTCCTTTTTTATTGTGCTGTAAAAATTGCCAGTCTTTTATACAGGGATGACTTAATGTTGTGCGTTTTAACATTCACAGATCCTGAAATGCATATTGCCCTGGAAAACTTGCAACAGTTTCCTGCAGTGAGTTCCTCTGCTGAGCTCACATTCCCAGGTTTATTTTCTGTGCTGTCCACTGCAGATTCACAAAGCTCTATGTCACTTTCGCCACTAAGCTGCAGCCCAGCTTCACAGACTGGTAAGTATCCTGAAAACAAGCGATTGTGTTTTGACCTGATGAAAACCATTTACTTCTGGGTTAATACATTTTGTTTTTGTAGGTCCCATGTTTTGCCAAGGTGCTGAAAGTCCCATTGATCCTCCTGCAAACCCAGAGGACAGTGGCCAGTGTCCTTCCTTTGCTCAGGTGAGTCATAGTAAGCTTCATTTCTTGGACTAGAAAATGTTTAAACTTTTTTTGAAGGCTTTGTCTCTTCCTCATTTTATGAGAAGTATGAACTTGTAAATAAAAAATAAATAAAACATTTATACTAGCCTAGGTGGATGCAGCATCTGTCAATCACCGGCTCTGCAGTGAGAACTGAGCAATCAAACCCCACCAATCACTCCCCCTCTGGTCTGTCAGTCTCTGGATCTCTGTTCTGCCCCTCCAGCACTTATTCGAGCGCTGGGCTGTGAAGGGGGTAAAAGGGGCTGGCTCAACCTCTGTATCATGAGAGGCTGAGCAACCTGTTGATCCAGACTTCTGGGTGGATTTTTTCAGAGTCTGGACTGGCTCTGATGTCAGCAGACAATGGGCTTAATCCTGCTGTCAAATGAAAGCGGATCACAGGAGTGCAGAATGAACTGCACTCCTGTGACCTACAGGAGAAGTATAGCCAAAATAGCTTTGGCTATACTTCTCCTTTTATTCATGCACTCAAAGACCCATTGGATGCTGACTGCATCCTGTATAGAGAGATCTTCTAATTCCTCCTGATTCGGAACAAGGCATTGCTCTTTTCAGTCCTTAGTGCCAGCATTTATTATTAGTTCAGTGCAAGAACCGTAAAGTCAAATCATAGCCTTTTTAATGGAACTATGCTGGGTAGTAGGCTTTTATTGCAGAAGATACTTGTCTCTTTTGCAATAAAAGTATCTTGGCAGCAATTTTCTAAAGTGTGTGTGTGTTCTTGACATTTTTGTGCCAGGATTAATTAACTTTCCTACAAACCCAGAAAGACATGAAAGCATCCGTAAGGGAGCAAAGCTGGAGGAGAGGTATATAAACTACGGTTTAGTTGCATTGTAAGTTGGCATTAGTGGTTTAAACATTGGACTACTCATTGAGGGGGAGGAGTCAAATTGATGGGCGGGATGTGGTTAGGCAGTCATTCGCCTTCCCTGCAGTCTTTTTATATACAAACAGTATTTTTTATTACGCTTAGAGCTGTTAAATAATGGTCCAAAAAACACCTTTTCCAATTTGAAAATCCTTTTTTCTTGTTTTATCTGAACTGTTCTGTTTTCTTGTAGATGCTAAGGGTTGGAAAAGCAAAAGCAGAATCATGGCCCAAAGCTGCAATAAAGAAAGGTCAGCATGTCCTACATTCCCCCCCCCCCCCCCCCCCCCCCCCTGTTTATAAACAAGGCACCTTACTGATTTTATCTTCATGTTTAGAAACTCCAGCAGTGAGCACAGGCCCTGCAGACAGTGATGGGGAGAGTGATTGCTCTGAAAGGGTCCCAGTACCAAGCTTCCAGAATTCATTTAGTGAGGCCATGGAAGCAGCCTTTCTGAAGCTGGACTCTACGCTTCCTACTCCTCCTTTGTCAAGTAAGAGTGCTTCTGAAAATGGTTATGTACTTTTTCTTCTTCAAGCCCCTTATTTATTTATTTTTTTATTTTTTTTTTTTCAGTTGAGAAAGGAGGGAAGAGAAAGAAGAAGCAAAAGAAACTTCTGTTTAGTACCTCTATGGTTCACACAAAATAAACAGCACATTTGATCTGATCTTCATCTTCCCATCTTCTCTGCACTCATTGCTTAGTATCACTATCTGCAGTATTTGATTTTTTTATTTTCTTTATTTGCCACTGGTTGGATGGGTGTGTGAGCCATAATCTGCTTACACAATGCTAATTTCAAGCTCCTGGGTTGTAGGGCAGAATAATGGTGTTGGATGCAGTGTATAACTAAGAGTAGTGTGTGTTGCTGTGGAGCAATTGAAGGTGAGCAAGTTGCAATGCTTAGCAGACCTGAACTGATGGGCTTCTTGCTGTTGAAAAAGGTATATGACATGAAACTAATGGCTGTGGGCCTGTGTATTAAATGGAGGCCCATGTTCTGTAGTAAGCTTTTTCTTTGAAGATAGGCATCATTACTCTGGTTGTGGCTGTCATGTGAAAGGAGTCTATTTTTTTTTCTCAAATTGTAGATTTAAACAATAAATTTCTTGTAAATTAAATGGTCTAGTTTAGTTTTTTGTTCGTTTTTACTTTCTATATTGTGGGTTCTCGTACTGCAACTGTAGTTTCAACAGTTCAAAGCAAGTCAACGCCATAGCCTAGGTTCTATTTAAAGCAGTACTCAAAATACAGTTAGTGGTATTAAACCCAAAAGCAAACCTTTATTATATTGCAGCTTACCAATGCTTAGATGTGATGGCTAGGTTTGTTTCCATTTTTTTTTTTTTTTAGGTTTTTCTCTTCTATTTTCATCTAGTGATCCAATAAAAATCCTAGATTGGATGCACCTTTGTCAAATATTTCAAAGAAATCTGACCTGGTGTTCGAGGACATGGGAGTCCTTGGGGACCCTATGGACAAGAAAGGGGATGTCTTTCTTAAAAGGACCTGGGAGTCTACTGTAAATAGTTTCAGGCAGTATGCCGGGAGGAATTGGCTCTCCCTGAGGTGGTTTCCTGTTGGCTTACAATTATATGGGGCCAACCGGAAATGGACCTTTTTTGCCTCTCAATTAAATGCGAAGGTTCCGAGATTATTTTCCATGAATCCGGGGGACACAGCGGTAGCCATAGATGCCCTTGCGAATCCATGGCCTTACAGTCTAGCTTATGCCTTCCCCCACCCATCAGGTTGATTCCAGCAGTTTTACAGAAACTTCACCTGGAGAAATTGGATCTCAGTCTGATAGCTCCATATTGGCCGAAACATCCTTGGTTCGCCCTTCTGAAATCTTTGGCAGCGGGTCCTCCAGTATTTCTTCCAAAGAGAAAAGACCTCTTATCCCAGGGTCCTGTGCATTGTTCAGGCTTGGACACATTAAACCTTTCAGAGTGGTATCTGAGGCGTAGTTGTAAAAAAAAAAAAGGGATTTTTGGATAGTGGTACAAACATTAGTTAACTTCCGAAACCCAGTTACAAGGGCTATCTATTCCAAAGTATGGACGAAATTTAATTCTTGGATAGTTGAACAAAAGCGTTCTGAATCCTCCATTCAAACACTCCTGGGTTTTTTCCAAGAGGGTAGAGACGAGGGGTTATCCCTCAACACTATTAAAGTGCAAGCAGCAGCTTTAGGAGTTTTTTTTTTTTTTTTTTTTTTTTTTTGGTGAGAGTGTCCCTCCTGGAAGATCCTATAATTGCTCGCTTCTTTACATCAGTGGCCAAAATGAGACCTGTGCCATTTAAGTCCTGTCCTTCCTGGGACCTTTCGCTAGTCTTACAAATATTGACGTCCAGCCCATTTGAATCTTTGGAGCAGACATCCATTAAACTGGTTACTTGAAGGACAGTATTTTTGGTGGCTTATTACGACGGCACCTAAGATTAGCAAACTACAATCTCTACCGATCAAAGAACCATTCATTTTGATTTTTGATGACAGGATAGTTCTCAAGACAGATCCTGGATTTTTGCCTAAAGTAGTCACGTCTTTTCATAGGTTGCAGGATATTGTTTTACCCTCCTTTTTGTACCTCCCCTTCAAATGAAAAAGAGAAGTTGTTCAGTTTACTTGACGTTAGGAGATATCTCTTACACTACTTGAGTTTTTCTACGCAATTCAGAAAGTCTGATGCTCTATTTGTCCTTTTTTCCGGCAAATGAGGAGGGTTTCAGGCATCTAAGCCAACTACTGCCAGATGGATCAAGCAGGCCATATCACTCTATCAGGTTAAGGGCCAGTCATTACCTTTCATTAATGCATATTCTACTAGGGCCTTGTCTACGTCTTGGGCAGAGAGCTGGTGCCTCCCCCGGATCAAATGGGTAAGGCCGCAACCTGGTCAAGTTTCTCAACGTTTATTAGGCACTACCGTTTGGATCTCTAGTCAAGAGCAAGCTTTTGGGTGTAAAGTCCTCGAGGCAGTGACCCCACCCTAAACTGGTAAGTTCTTGCTTATCGTCTTGTGGGCTGTCCTGCAAAACGACTTGGGAAAACCAGAGTTAGACTTACCTGTAACTCTGTTTCTGGGAGTCTTCCAGCCAGATTCCCACCCTTTGCATTATGTTATGCTATTCTGATGATATATATTTCAGGCCCGTTCTTGTGGTTATTTAGGCTAGGGCCTGGAGGACCGCCTTTTAATCTGTGGGGGGGGGGGGGGGAACAAGTTTCCTGTCCCTTGGGAGGAGCTCTACGTCTTGTGTGCTGTCCTGGAAGACTCCTGGAAATAAGAGTTGCTAGTAAGTCTAACTCTGGTTTTTTACATCCCAGTTTCATTAAGAAGGCTGGACCCCAAGTCCTCAGGTTCCGGAGGCAGGCATTCCACTCTTGTTTGTGGGAAGTTTATTCACCTTTGTGGCTGCTTGCCAGTTTCACATGACTGGGTCTTAGATGTGTTGTCCAGAGGTTACAAGCTGCTGTTCTGCTTTCACATCTATGCTTTATGTGCTCAAGGGCTTCTTTGGATCCACAAAGTGTTCATCCTTGGGGAATCTATCAACTCCCAAGCTGAAATTAAATATCCAACAGACTGTACAGGTCTTGGAAAGGTTTGGTTGGGTGCTAAACCTTCAGAAGTAAGTCTTGGTTCCTACTCTGTGTCTGGAGTACTTAGTCTTCGATACAGCTTAGGTGAAGATCTTGCTCCAGCAGGAGAAATGCCTGTGTCTGATATCGGGTGCAGTCACTGAGGTTGTTGGAAAGTCCCCCCATTCAGTCTTGCATAAAGGTGCTAGGAAAGCTGATAGTCACCCTTGCTGCAGTCCCTATGCCCAGTTTCATTGCAGAGGTCTTCAGCTCAGAATCCTATTGCTATGAGAAACATGGAAGTCATGGAATCTGCTGTTGTCTATTACTCCCAGACCAGATCTGCTTTGAAATGGCAGATATCCATGTAGATGCTGGCTACTGGGATATCCTTCCATTTTCAAGACAACAGATGACAGTCCATTGGGCTTGGGAGAAGGTTTAGAGCAGTATTTCACCTTTTAAAATTATGGACAGTCCCAAGGTACCCTTTAAAATTATGGACAGTCTTGAGGCACCTCGTGAATGTGAAAAACTATTCTAATAGTTGTATATAACGCAGCAACATCCACACATGTAGGACACCCAACATTGGAGGTGATTTATTCTTCCAAAGCAAATACACTTTTGCACACTGGTACTGACTAGTATTCTATTGTTTCTCTTCTCCCTCAGTTTTTCTCCATACTGAGCTAATGTCACCCCTGCACTGATCGAAAGGACCAGAGGAGGGTCAAACTAGGATGCTGTGCAGGTAGCTGACATCCTCATCAACTGGTGATGTCATTGGTTGTCAAGATGCTTGAGGCTAGAAGGTCGTAATGGTGCACAATAAAAATCTGTGGCTTTGTGTAACTAAAAGGTGGGCTTGTTCCACCCGCTGGCTTGTATGCAAGTTTCAGGCAATTATTAGACATTTTGCCAAGGCACCCCTGAAGAAACCTCAAGGCACCCAAGGGTGCCTGGGCACCCTGGTTGAGAGGGACTGGTTTAGAGAACCAATCTGTTCAGGGAACTTGATTGTTAGCTGGCAACTCCTACACTGGTCTGTTTGCCTTCAGGGGGACTGCACAGCTGTGGCATACATCAGCCATCAAGGAGGGATTAGAAGATGTGCTATCCAAGAAGAAGCAGACCTGATCTTGTCTTGGGCAAAAAAAGTCACATTCCAGTTCCTTTCCCTGCCATGCACATTCACAGTGAGGAAAATTGACAGGTGCACTTTGCAGCCTTTAGCAGCTGAATCCAAGAGAATGGGACCTTCACTTGCAAGTGTTTGCAGAGATTTGTCTGCAGTGGGGGATGCCCGATGTGTAGGGCTATTAATATATTTACTGTAGCTTCTGCCTCTAGCATAAGCCTGCACCCCTTCCCCCGTAGTGGAATACTTAATAGAGCCAATTTCATTAATCGGACCCTAGAGGTATGCCTTCAGTGTGTTCCAGCCCACGCAGTGGCAGCTTTAACTGTGAGAAAGGAGAAAAAGTTAAATTCAGTGGAGGTATGTGACTGGAAAAGGAACAGACAGATGGGATTAAAACATCGGGGCAAACATAACTGTCAGGAGAGAGTGGTCTGAGATCCCACTGGGTTGTATGACTACAGAGCATACACATGGGAGAATCACTGGACATTGTGGGGGTGGCTTGGCCATGACCTTCTGGTACGGAGTTCCATGTAGGGTGCTTTCCAGGTCCGGAACCACAGGCATTGCTTCAATGCCTTCACTGTATCTAAAGACTTGCTTTATAAGTGAGCTGAACACAAGCTACCTCATGTACATAGGTCACTGGGCGCCTTTTTATAAATCCCCTTTCCCAATGGTTTCCACCTCAGCAGGTTTTACCACTGTGTGATTGAGTGCAAACATCTGCTGAGTGGTGTAGCACGTGCACTTTTGTGCTTTTTTTCTGCCATAGAGCAGCAAGAAAGCATCTCTTACAGCTGACCCTGTTTTTTTTTTTGGAAGATGCCATGCAGAACATTTATCGTCTGTTCCTGCTCCCTGCCTACAGAGGCTTTGGCCACCTCTGGCCATCGAACCTCACCTGCTACAGCTG